ATCAATAAATTTTTTTCTTCTTTTTCAACCATATATTCCCCATCACATAAAAAAATGTATTCTTGACTACAAAATGTGCACCAAACATGGGCAAAAATAGTCTTCTCAAAAATTTCTTATATAAAATATAAAAGTAATGCCAAACGGATCTTAAATAATTCAAGGGTTAAAAGATTTTCATCCTAATTGGTGCTATTTGTGTAAAATGTAAATGCGTTTCTGAACGTTTCGTCAAACGATGTCGTATACACCTTCGTCCATTTCTTGTGTAAAAAGATTTTGGTTTCTCTTTTATTACTCCTTTTCTCCTCTCTATCAATTCATTCACATTCTCACACAGGCAAGAAAAAAATAATTAACAAATGGAATCGCCGAAGACAATTCCACACGAAATCGGAGGACTGAGAAACGATCCACTCCGAAATGGACTCCATGGCGTCAAGAGTGATATCGTTGGATCTCACCCCCTCGAATCTTCCTACCACTCGGTAATTTATTCATTCTTTAGATTTGTTTATCTATTATGAATTTTTTGGTGTTTAATATGGTGTGCTTGATTAGGCCAAAGAGAGGCAAGAGGATATGAAGAAGAAGATCTTAGCGAATACCTACGGGGCGGCTTTTCCGTTGAAGATGGAGCTCGACCGTCAAATTATTTCCAAGTTTGTGTTTTCTTAGCTCTTAAAATTGTGGTTTTATATCGTTTTTATTGTATGTATTGTAATCTTTTTCGAATATTGATGTATTGAACTGGAAGTTAGGGTTTAAGCTGCAATTTTAGGGTTTCTTTTGGATGTTTTGTTTTTGTTTTCATATTTCCTGCAAAAGTGCTGAGGCGAGGCTTTGATTACAATGCTACTGCAAAATGCTTGTCCCTCAGTTACAGAAATGGTTTTTTTGTTTCCGCTTTTTCAGTCACTCACATGATTTTTCAGAGCTATCTTTCACATTGTGTTAAGAGTTTTTAATTACAATAACATTCTAAATAGAAGTATTCAATTTGAATTTTAATGTTACGTAAATAATTTTCCTCAAGTATGCAAGTAATAGGAAACCCTTCAAATAGTAATTTGATTGACCTAAGAAAGTGAAGTTTTAAGATTTGTTAGCATTTCCCTTTCACTTGGGGAGAGAGAATTTTGTGTGTGAGTTGGGGAAGGGGGCTGCATTGGCCATCTTTTTATTTTGTGAATCGCAGTCAAATGGTTTGGACTAAATTAATGGTATGAAAATTTGAATCTGTAAAATTTAATATCTAGAACGAAGAATAATTCTTAACATTGGACATTGCTTTTTGTTAGTAGGATTATCATTTCTGAGCAATCAGCGTGTTATTTTCTCATATTTTGATAATCTTGACTGAACCTGATATGAAGCTTCACGGAAGTGCTGATTTGATGTGTGTGTGTACATTGCTACTGCAGTACTGTAAATTAATTACTGAATGAATTCTTGCTTAATTTTTAATGCTAATTTGCTCAAGTTTCTCATTTGAGGTTGAGTATGTTTTATTGACCCTCTTGAAGATTATTTTCAGTTCACGGATTTTGAAAGTTTGAGCACAAAGAGTGGGCATAAATTATTCTTCTTTCTTTGTTATTGTGAAGCATGATAACAATGTCTTTGTTGGTAATTATGTGCTTCAAGAAGCTATAATTTACAATGACTGTGAAATAAGGTCTGCAACTTGCAATAAGCTTTTCCCTATGAAATTTACATTTTACTGACGCCATCCTTTAGCTAGTTCTTCTTGTGTCCTGTCAAATTATCTTGTTCTTATTTGTATGACTTGGAGAGGAATAGTGTATTTGTATCGTAGTTTATATTGACAAATATGATCCTATTAATTCTCTACCATTATTTAGGATTTTATTTTGTTAATATGTTCCAGTATTTTTGAAAATGAAAGTGAAAATCATGGTGCTGATCTGAGGTTATCTCTAACTGATATTTTTGAGTTTTCTGAAGTTAATACAAATGCGGGAGTCATTGACCTAAGACAACGCTTTTTTTGAAAGCTCTCCTACAGCAGGCTGTGGAATATGAAGTTTGAGGATGGATATTTGGAATTTCTATGTCCAAATAGTGTGGAAAAGTATATTGCTAAAAGGATATGAATATGACTATGCCCTTGTTTGATTCCCCTTTTTTTCAAAATACATTGTTCTCTCTCTTCTTTTCAACCACATATCTTTCAATAAAATAATATTACACACAACCCAAAAACCTTTCCTTCATTTTTAAATGTGCGTTCTCCATCAATCTACTATTTCAAAATGCATTCTACACTAAAAATTGGACTCAAACAGGCCCTAAGTATATCATGGACGAAGGGCTTGGGTCTCGAGGAGGAGAACGAAGAATAAGAAGCTCTTGTGGGACTTATGAATAGACAGTAGCTTTTGGGAAATTGGGGATGATTACTGAAGATGTTATGTTGTAGGAAAGTAATGAGCTTTAGAAGTATGTAATTTGCAATGAGAAGAAGAATATAAGTACTGAAATTGTGAAAAAAGGTAAATAGAACGAGGTTTTGGTGAAGCAGAAAAAATTCAGAACCTTCACAAGTACTGTACAAAGATGTCATCCAATCATATATTCTCATAATAATCAATTCTATTATGATAAGTAGATTAGCTCGATATTGTTGACCTATAGGGCTTCTTTTTTAAGATTCAAGACCTTCCTAACACAAATGTAACTCCGAATTGACCTAAATAAACTTAGTCCCTGTTTGGTTTAGATTAAAATCAAACTTTTAGTAGATTTTGATGAAAGTTCTGGATCCCATAAAAATATGTTGTTAGAATTAATTGCTAACTTTTGAATTAGATTTTAATTGGATTTTTTAGCAGTACCAAACTGGGGCTTAATAAAAAAATTCTTGACCGTCTGTACCTATTTAGTACTGTAATCGATAGACTTGCCAGATTTTATCAACTGATAAATGTAGTAAGCTATACCTAATGGTACTATTCAGCTGAACGTTGCTTAAAGCTAACTTTGATTCAAGCGTCACCATGGTCACCTTCTCTGGGAAGAAAGCTCTTTGTAGTTGATGCCTAACACCTTTGTTTCCAAGTTCTAACCTCTGATTTAACCAGATAATATCATCGGCTTCAGTCGTGCTTCTTTGTATCTAAAAGATAGTTTATTTTACTTGCTTCAAATGATAGGCTCCATCCTTTTCTTGCATCCAACCCAGAATTTGTTTCAGTTATTTCGTTGTTGTCGCTGGCTTGGAATATAGGCTGTACGCTCTTGCGTTCCTATTTTGAGTAACATAAATTGCTAAGATTTATTTTTTGGTGGTTGTAAATTTGGTGTGGCTCTTTTGGAGAACTATGCAATATTATCATACATCTCTTTAACTAGTTGTATATAGATAATGAAGCTTTCTGGTGCTTAAATAATTCTCTGCAATTTCCAGGATCAAGTCTGTTAAATTTTCATCTTTCATTTTTGAAATTCTGTAGATTTCAAAGGCCTCCTGGAGCTATACCATCTTCATATTTGGGGTTGGAAGCCATGACTGGAACTCTGGAAGATTTTGGTTTCCAGGACTACCTCAACGGTAACAAAAATACTAATGAATTGCAGATCTCTTCTGTTCAAACTTTGTTTACTATTTCCATGTTATTTGTTTTTCTACATGTTAAATTATTTATGGTATACAAGGAATCAAGTTAGATGTCTTGGCACATGGGGATAACGAGTATATAATGTTGGGTTAATATAATGTAGATTTAAGAAATTGAAATGAAAGTTTCATGTAATGGAATGACAAGCATTTATGCGTTCAGGTGTGTGTTAAACTGAAACTGTGTAAAAAAGTTGTTGGTCAGTTAAGGTTGCATGCTTTGGTGACTTTCGCTTGTTGGCTGACAAATGACCTTAAAATCCAATTCTTACATGTTGATTTGCATCGCCTTTCAGATCCAAGGGAGTCGGAATCATTCCGTCCAGTTGACATGCATAATGGAATGGAAGTGCGTTTAGGGATGTCAAAAGGACCAGCCTGCCACAGTTTCATTTGAAGCGCTGAAATTTTCTTAAGAACGGACTTTTGAGTTCTGCATTGTTGTGCAACTGAAATTAAGCTTGTTTTAATAACTATAACTGATGTGAATGGTATTTTTAAATATTTGTCCAACTTAAGAAGACAATTTTTTTTTCTTTCTTTCTATTTTTATGTTTCGTGTTATATTTATTTTTTGAAGTCTTGTGTGAGACAAATGGTAAGAATGATTAATAGAAGAGTGGAGAGTTTCAAAATTTGAATGAAGAAATATAATACTGAAATGGTGTTAGTATTGTTTACACATGAGTTGTGATGCATACTTTTTGATGATAGATCAGTGATATTTTTGGAGAATACATAAAAAAATAGGAAAAAAGTTGTCGTGCAATTGTCGAGAGAGAGTTTGATTGAAAGATTAAATGAATTTTAAAGGAACTTTACCAAATATGTATATAAGAGTAGAGAATAATACTTGATAGGTGATGTTCAATGAATGTTTTTATTTTGCATTAGATGAAGCGATGAACCTATCATTGACATCTAATTGTCACATAAATTGGTGTTAAGCACCAGTGATGTTAAATAACATTATTCAATAACAAATGGAGATGGGCAAAGCATTTGGTTCTATTTGATTTAATTAGAAATTTCGTATTTAAATTAAGAATAATGTTCTCTAAAAAATATACCCCTAATCACGTTCCCCTTCCTTAAGTACTCCTCTTTAACAATGGGAAAATGAATAAAATAAGACCTTCCGTAATGGACCCTCGCCGGATGCCTCGAACTATAACCGACCCGAAAATCCGGCAAGTCGGGTTCTTCGCTCCCGTGGCCCCACCCGATGTATCAATGTTGGGTCCGCCACGGCCGACTTGTACAAATAGCTTTATTCAAAAAATATACCCCTAATCACGTTCCCCTTCCTTAAGTACTCCTCTTTAACAATAGGAAAATGAATAAAATAAGACCTTCCGTAATGGACCCTCGCCGGATGCCTCGAACTATAACCGACCCGAAAATCCGGCAAGTCGGGTTCTTCGCTCCCGTGGCCCCACCCGATGTATCAATGTTGGGTCCGCCACGGCCGACCACTCCTTCCTCTCCGGTCTCGGGCAACTCCTTGTCCCCCGTCATGATCCCTCCTCCGCGACACCTCTCCTCGGACAACGTCCTACTCTCCCCCCACATCGCCGTCGACTCCTTCCTCCCGGTTGGCAGCTATAACGCTTCGGAATTTTCATCCTCTACTGCAACTGAGGACTTCTCTGAGGACAACTTCTCCAAAGACTCTGGCTGGGTCCTCAATGAGAATTCTGGTAAAGCCGCCGTGAAACCGAATACCCATGCCGCCAGTGGGTTGACCCCTGCCGTTTCGAGTTAGGTTTTCATTTTTTTTTGTTTTCCCTTTTTAATATTTCTCCGTTTCTTTTTATTTTTAAGCGAGTCTAATTGAATTTTGGGTTTGATTCTGTAACGTGGTAATTTGTTAGATGAAGGGCCACCTATGGAGTTGCAGAAGCAGCAACCACCAGCTAGTTCAATGCCGAAAAAGGAGCAAACGACAAAGGCTGAACGACGTGCTCTTCAGGATGCTCAGCGAACCGCCAAAGCTGCTGCTAATGGTGATTCCTTTCACTTGTTCACAGATGTATTTTTTTTTCTCTAACCATGCTTCTTATATAATTTTTGGGTTGATGTGTACTCTATTAGTTAACTTCCCGGAGCTACATTTGTGCTTTGTGTGATTTTCTTTACTTGTTAGTATAGTGATCTGTAATTTGGTGCTTTTTATTATTAGCATGTATCTGGTCATGGACTTGATACAGTTTGTCAGAAAGCTGATCATTCGATGAAATACTGATTATAAATGAATATTGTTCGAATACTTCATTTTCCATTTAAATATTTTGGATAACATATGGGTGTGTATTCATTTTCGTTTGTATGTTATGGTGCTAAATGATGTCAACAAGTTCATGATTTTCATGGATTTCAGCAATATCAAGTCTTCATTTCATTGGCTTTTTCATCTTTTCCACACTTCTAATTGCTTTAGCAATATCAAGACATGTCCTGCATCTTTCCAGGCATTAGGGGAGGCGTTCTTACTGTTCAAATCAATGACAGAAGATTCTTTGAAACCATGTTTAGTTGATACATGAACGGATTCTGTGATGTGCACTGCTAGCTCCATTTCCTCTGCGTTAATAAGTTGCCCATATCATCTCCTTTTACTTTCGGTGTAAATAATGGCAAAATATTATCTCAAGGCATTTGTTCTGATTAATATCTTCATGTTTTTGGAATCCAATTTGTATTTTGTCATATACTTCGATGATCTGTTCATCTCACGGATGGTCAATACTGTATTTATCCAGCTGGTGGAAGTAAGAAGTCTATTTCCGCTTCTGCAGTGGTCAATTCAGCCAACGCAAATACAAAAAAGGTTGCAAAGGCTCCTCCCCAAAAGAAAGACAGCTCCTCAGTTGCAGCTTCTGAGAAAAGAGGTGGCGATCGTCAAACAGATAAAGATAGGAAGAAAGATGCCCCTCATCCTCGTATGCAGTTTGATGATGAGGACCGAGTTGAGAAGGCAAAGAAGCGGTCTGTGGTAAAACAAACTGAATCCAGGAACAGAGTTGAACTATTTAGACATCTACCTCAATATGAACATGGAACTCGGATTCTTGACCTTGAATCACATTTCTTTCAGCTTGACACAGTTCATCCTGCAATTTACACGGTAGATTCTTAGATAATTCCCTCAGTAACATTTATTGACTTAAATCCTTATGATTTTGGAGTAAGAACCCCACCGAAGGCACTTTGTTACAATTATTTAGTTATGGTCATATAATCTTTCAACTATAATTTTCATGGTCTGGCACATGAGATCTCATCTGGGAATCATGTGATGGAAAGCTGCTGCATCAGATAATAAATAAACAAGTTAATCTCTCGCTCTCTATCTCCTCGTATACTTTATCCTGATTATGGGATTTATTTGTTGTCAGGTTGGGCTGAGGTTTTTGACTGGGGATATATCTGGTGGCAATGCCCGCTGTATTGCAATGCTTCGGGCATTTCAAGAGTCAATCGAAGATTACTCTACTCCAGCAGAGAAAGAACTTACTAGGGACCTTCCTACAAAGATAAATGGTTACGTCTCATTTCTGATTCAATGCAGGCCCCTTTCAATTAGCATGGGGAATGCAATTAGTTTTCTTAAACCCAAAATTCCTGAATTATCTTCAACCATGTCCGAGTCAGAAGCAAAAGCGAGTCTTCTCTCAGATATCGATCGCTTCATAAATGAAAAGATAATTCTAGCAGAAAAAGTAATCGTGAGGCTTGCTGTAACAAAAATTAGGGATGGTGATGTTCTTCTCACACATGGTTCATCATCTGTTGTAGAAATGATATTCTTATGTGCCCAAGAGCTTGGCAAACAGTTCCGAGTTGTGATTGTGGATTCACGTCCAAAGCTTGAAGGGAGGATGTTACTTCGTAGGTTGGTGGGAAAGGGTATTAGTTGTACATACACTCATCTAAATGCCATTTCTTATATAATGCATGAAGTAACACGAGTATTTTTGGGTGCTTCATCGGTGTTGTCTAATGGAACGGTTTATTCGAGGGTTGGCACTGCATCTGTTGCTATGGTTGCCCATCAGTTCCGTGTTCCAGTCTTAGTATGTTGTGAATCATATAAGTTTCATAAAAGGGTTCAACTTGATTCAATTTGCTTTAATGAACTTGGTAAGAATTTCTTAATTTTCATTTTGATATATCTCCATTAGATATGGCTGTGTATCCTGTTTATAATGTTTTCGACTGTTCTCACATTATTACAGGTGACCCTGATGCTATTGCAAGGGTTTCTGGCAAGGAGGATATCAATTATTTGAATGATTGGGCAAGTAGCCAAAATCTTCAACTTTTGAATCTGACGTAAGTTTTATTTTTTAGATTCCGTAGTATTTGACTATGTATTGCAAGCAAAAGTTTTGATTTTCCGCTGTAACAGTTATGACGCAACACCATCGGACTACATTTCAATGATCATTACAGAATATGGCATGGTAAGTCGAAACAAGGTTCATATAAATGATCACATTCTGCCATTAGATTTAGCAATGAATATGCCTCAAAATTTCAGTACAAGTAATCCTAAAGTGGATCATGAGTCTACTTCTTTACGGTTGCATAATATATGGGGGTCACTGCTCCTCCTGGACATGTATAATAATTGTGATCATGTTCCTTGCCATCCTTTAATCTTCAAACTATGATCATTGTATGTCAGAAGACTAATTACTGTTACTAAAAATAGTCATTAACCAAAGTACTGAGTCAAGTCACAGCGTACTCGACATACTAGGTGAGCTAGGCAAGCTTGATGTGTACCCCTAAGGATGACGGTGTACTCAGAGTACTATACGACTTTGACGATCTCATAGCCCAGTGAATAAGCTACAAATTATTCATTTTAACTTGATCTAGTTCTCCACAAGTCATTTTAACCCGTTCTTTTGCTCGATTAATGTGATCTTAACTATGCATGTTTGAAAGATGATTTTAATTTCATTTTATAACTTAATTTATCATACTCTTTTTTCTTCGACCAATATCTTGAAGCCCTTTCTGCATCCCGCAAACAAAATTAGTTAAATTTATTGAAGCCCCACTTGAGAGAGAGATTCTATGGTTACTTGGCATAACTTATTTCGTGTGTTGTGTTAATTGCTTAATGTTAAATGTTTGTTGCAATAACTGTAGATCCCTCCAACAAGTGTTCCTGTTATTGTTCAAGAGTACGGTGGAGAACATTTATTGATTTAGAGATGTAAAATTCAAACTAAGCTGGCTTTGTCCGACTTCTCCCACCAGATCTGACTGACAGATGGGAATGTGATTTTGAGAACTCTGCTGCAACATCATACCGTTTATTTCTTGTGGGATCTCTTTCTTAGCGATTTTCCTCTCAACGCATACTTTTTCTTTTGGTTTACAATTTTTGCCGAATCAGGGTGCGAATTATCATCCTCTTTGGGCATTTCTGTCGATGTGTGTTTTGACGAGTTTCTTTGTAACTGTCTGATAATGATAGATGTCTATAAATTTAGAGCAAAACCAGCAACATGAATGGCTGAACATTTATAATACATATATAACTATATAGAGGGCCAGCTTGCTTTAGTCGCATAATATAGTTCTTTTTCTTATGCTTCATCCCAAAGATGAGAACGAAAATGCTAATTCTTCAACATTGGTCAGTTTAGAGTTCGACTTAATTCCAGTCCTGACAGATCATCCAACTCTGGGTCCATAGGCAGTACCAAAATCATTGAAGTTGAAACATCATGTAATCTAAATCTTATATAGAAACCCAATTTCATTCGGTTTTTTGATAAATCTGTCAATACAAGAAATTATTAATGTCAAACTCGCCACATCTCTCTCTACAAAAGTGATTATTCAATAGATCCTCTGAGAATGTCACCTTTGCCATGCACAGGAGAGACGACAGCAAGAATAACAAAACCTCCCAAAACAACTATCAACATACCAAGAGAGTTCACCAACAATGCCTCAGTCGAATAGCGTGATATAATGTTGTGCGTTTGAAGAAACGTCGCTTTCTCTAAAATTCCAGTGATGCAAGTAGCAACAGCTAGAGCATAAATATACACACCAAAAAAAACATGCCAAGGCAGCAGACTCGCTCTGCCGTTCCTCGAACCACTGGGAGACCAAAAGGTTACAAATCCAGCAGCCCACTGCGAAAAAAATTATTACAAAATTAATTGATGAAACCTGAGAAAATACTAGAGAATTTGTTGAAGGAATGGATTAACAGACTACCTGGATTCCGAACAAAAAAAGGCAGGCTAGGCCAAGCCATGAGTGGAGGCTATAGAAATGGTCAACACCTTTATCATTGTGAAACTTCCAAGCAGCCCATACTCCAATGACGCTCAAACAGAATGCCAAGAATTGCAGACACAGATGAACTGATTTTTGGAACTTTTTTGTTCCTGAGACAGTCTTGTAGGACAGCATGGCTGCAGAAATCCATACCAAGCAATAAACATAATTCTGAGAATGCCAGCAAACAGGCAATGATGACTGGGTATAATAAACAGCTCTGACGATATCCAACAAATGAGAAGCATACAAAGAGTTGATCATTCAGACCTTACAATTCATAGATGTAGATCCGGGACCAATGAACGGGGAAATTCCCAAAGCTTTTGCAGTTTGGGAGAGAGTTTTTCATTGATAGAAAGGGGAATCTACTTGTGTGCCCTTAGGCATGACAATAGATAACTTATAAATCACACTTGGTAAGGGTGAAAACCAGTTAGAGCAGGTGGCTCCTGCAGCAAAACTAAATTCAAATGCGGGAATTGAGGGAAAATTGGTGGGTACAATTGGAAAAGAAGTTTCACACATAATATTACTTGCATGGAAGTATATCTGTATATTAGACCACCAGATTTCCAGAAACTGGTTTTTCAAATATTATAGAGCCAGTTACAGAGATAATCAGCATTGTCATGCAATCATTGGTTAGGGCATGTTGAAATAGCTTTTACAAGTAAATTTAGCAGAACAAGATATAGATGCTAATGATTCAAGTAGAAGTTTTATTTTACAGTTTACTCGTCATTATCTCTCTCTGAGAGCACAGAAAATACTCCCTCCAGGTTGCCTTCAAGGCCCTTTGGACTGTTCAAAGATTTTGAGACAACTACTACATCTGGGGTTCAAATTCTACTGAGAGGTCTATTCAATGATTTTGAGAAGTAGGTATTTGAAACAAGTACCACGTAGGCTATCAAAATTAGAATGTCCTCTTTGAAGGCAGATATTATATTTTAGAAGGGGCGAGCAAAATTGAAAGGAACAATTGTTTAGATCACCAAACTTTTGTTCCCGAGCAACACAAGTGCAATATTTCGATATGATCAAATCTACTTGTACTTCACTGTACTGTTTTAAGAGAGAGAAAATATAAAGCACCTGTATCATCGTACACCAAAGTCCATTCGATCAAGGTATTATTGACTTAATAGAAGGCAAATGACTCAAATAATAGTGCAGCAAGTTACTTAAGTCTAAGCTAAGGCTGTTTGATTCAGGCAAAAGTGCAAACAATAACAAATACAAGATCACAAAAACATTATTCGCGCACGAATAAGCAATATAAATATTAAAAAACAATCAACCCTAACAATGAACACATTGAAGTGTTTCAATAGAAGTTGAAAACAAAAACCTAACCTAATTAAGAATAAATTATAACCTAATTAGAACTCAAGCAAAGTCAATAAACAAAAATTCTAATCAATTAAAGAAAATAAACTCCTAATGAAGTATTCAACATCCATCTCCATCAATGTTGTTACCATTCATCTGAAGATTTCTACATACATAACTCACCAAACATATTATTGCTTAAAAGGAAGAGAGTCATAATTTTTAGAACAAAGTACACAGAGGCAAGTCATAACTTGAAGGTATAAAGGCCTTCATCTCAGTAATCCACAAAATAGGAAACACAGAAATTTGGAAGGTATATATGGCAACTTGATGCTGTTGGTTTAATGCAGCTATTAAACATCAGCTACCATTATATGTTTTTTTCGTAGTCATAAATAATAGATAGAAACAAAGAAACAGAACAAATTGGTGGAAGTTTTTAGTTACTTCCGATTTTTTAAAATAGAAGAAATAGAATTAGAAAAGGGGATGGGACGATGGGTATTGGTTATGGAACCTATGGGACATGTTCGTCAAGCATTAATGGATAGGGACAACATATAAAATAATCTTATCTAGTAATCTCCAATAGAAAATGTGACGCAAACCATGTCAAAACTTGATGAATAATATCATTTTTCCGGGCAGAAACCAACACTGAGCTGAACTCAGGGACTTCCAAAGCCCTTGAGCAAAACCGGTTTTGTGTTTTGTGGCCAAAATACATAATTTAAGCTGTCAAATTGGGACTTCTATAATTCAGGTGGAAATTGATTTATATTTATTTATTTACTTGTTTAGATTAATTTCCTAAAGTTTGGTAATTTAGGATTTCTGATTTTCCTTTAAAAGCTAGAATTAGGTTAGTTGTAACTTGGGTATTTATTAATGAAAATTTGAGGGTTTCTCAATTCTTCCAATTATTCAGTATTTGATGGCCAAATCCATGATATTCAGTTGAATCAACAAGTTTTTTGAGTGTTAATCATCTTCTGCAGCATCAAAATGCCATTAATAAATTTCAATAGAAAAATGCTATTAAATATTAAAGGGATTTTTATTGCTTATTGATGTAGGACAGACTGTCAATTTTTTCTACGATCATTGTCCAGAATGTTTTAATTCAACAATGATAACATGTATGATGAGAATTGAATCATGTGTATCCTTACCTTCACCATTCAGAAGTACAAGGCCAATCACCATTAAAACAGGATGGACCTACATAATTCACAGTACAGATGATCAATTTCAATCACAAGTCAAAATAAGTACAAAGTATAATGATCTACAAAATCGCCACCAATTTTTAAGCGTTCAACGCTTTCACTTCAACGTTAACCAACATAACACGGATTAATTCGAGAAAATAAGGAATAAGTAAAAAATTAAACAAAATAAGTGGAAAGTACATTGAAAATGAGAGCTTTGTTGTCGGAAATTAGAGCTAAGCCTCCTCTATAGTGCACAGTCCACGTTAGAACCAACGCCATTACTGCGATTCCTATTATCCTCACCACCGCCGATATCGGAAACCGAACCACCGGCACCGTCATTGGGAAATTTTGAGAGGAAAAAAAAACGAACTTTTGATTAATTGAGATAAGGGGTTAAATCGAGGCTACCCAACACTTTATTGAACGTGGCCATATTTTATTTAATCATGATCATCAAATTTAATTACCCAATTTCATATAAATTTTGTCATTCAATTTCCAATTTTATATAACGATTCACGATCTTTCAATTTCTTTTCACAATTTATTTCACTAATTTTAAAATTGATAGAACGGTAACTTTACATTATATATAAAATAAATTTAAAAAAAATAAAAAATTATTTTTAAAAAAGGTTACTTATAAAAATAAAATAAAATAAAAATTATTTATAAAAAAAGTTCCTTAAAAAAATAAAATAAAATAACGTTTTTGAAATAAAATAAAAACTTCTTTTAAAAAAAGTTACTTAAAAAAATAAAATAAAACTTATTTTAAAAAAACCTTTTTTTATAAAAATTATTATTATTTTTTAAAATTTATTTTACATATAATGCAAAGTTACCATTTTACACATTTTAAAATTAGTAAAATAAAGTTGGGTAACCATGTGACACATTATATGGAATTTGATGGTCATGATGAAACAAAATAAAATTGGGAGAACATAGTGACGCTAACCATAAAGTTGTGTGGCTATTGATGAATTTAACACAGATAAGAAGAAACTGTATGGGCGAGATTAAAATATTGAGGGTTTTGCATTTATATTCAGATCTATTAATAAAAGTTATAATTTTGAATAGTGATCGATAAAGAATGGATGATTAAAAAACAAAGGAAAGTTTTGAGTTTGTGTATAATATTATTTTACTGAAAAATGTTTGAAATAATGGGGATCAAACAAGAGTTTGATGTTACTATGACCATCCAATTTGATTTTGTTTCATCTCGACCACCTAATTTTATACTTAGTATCGTCATAACCATCCAATTCAATTGTATTTCACCATGATCACTAAATTTCATATAACATTTCATCATGGTCACCCAATTTCTTTTCACATTTTTCACTAATT